ATGGAGTTTGTATGTTCTCCCTGTGTTTGTTCTCTAGATGCTCTGGTTTCCTCCCGCAGTCCAAAAACATACTGATAGGCTCTCCCACAACCCCACATTATAAGTAGCAGTTGGAAAATGAATGGATGACATTAATGGAGCTACTTTGTAATTTAAATTGCAAGAGAAAATATGCATTATCTATTACTACAGTGATCAAATTGGTCTGTAATCCCGAAGACACCAAGAAACAGTATTGGGTGTTATGTTTTCCCTTAAATTGGCCAAAAGAAACTTGTAAATGATCATACATTTTCCAGGATGATCAAGAGTTTAGCTTTTTTCATCTGCTAATCACAATGATTAAACCACTAAAAAATGCAAATTAGTGAGTTATTAGCTACCACAGAACTGATATTTATGATCTCAAAGAAAAATAAATGTAATGTCATGATTCTACTAATGTGTTAAAAGTGGGTTTTTACACATTTGTATATGCTTTCTATGCAAACATAGACAAGTTTCTAGTAAAGTCAGTCACATGCCAGGCGATTTAATTTAATGAAGTGCACTGTACAGTCATTAAATCAGATACTGTTTAGATGGTTACAGTACAAAGTAATCACCACTGTTGCAACTGTGATGTAGCATTGTGCGTCATGGCTTGTTTTGGCCGTAAAGTAAATTATTTTTTCCAAAATCAATGCAAAGACTATGAATGCTGCTGAATTTGTGTTGTCCGTTACATTTTAATTCTCCGTCAGGCTTGTTCTGTTAAAATGACTGCAGTTTTAAACAGTGACCACTTCAGTCCACTGTACTGGAGAAGTGGACATTGGGCGAACTGCATTTAAAAGAAAATATGTAATGGTTAAAATTTCCCCATTGTATGAGTGAAGTTCAGGCTAGTATGGCTTGTCTATGGAAGTTTAAAAGATAGCAGTTCCTACCTGTATGTGCAATTCACATACACATAGCTATACCAGTAACAACAGAGTAAGGGGAACATGGTTTCAGTATTTTGAATCAATGCTCTCATCTTGAAAAGATGTTTGCCTGGAGAGCACCTTTAATGCTTAATGATTCTTTTGATGGAGGGGTCTGGTATTGAGCTACAGACAAGCAATCGAAATATTAACAAGCACTTTAGAGAGGTACGATATTCTGTCCTTTCAGTGAAGGTTTGTAAAAAAATCTATACTTCCCCATCTGTACGGTTTTTTTTTTAGTACATCCTTCTACTTTGAGCAAGAAACCACAGAGCTCAACTCAACTTCTACAACTCCATTTTGTTGGGAATTATTTTACTTTGCAGGTTTCTGTATTGCTCTTGCCTTTACTTGCTTTAGTCATTGTAGTTCCAAGGCTTTTACAGGGGAGAAATCTTGAGGTTGCTGAACATCTTCATGTGTAGCTGCTTGGAAACATTTACTGTGGAGGGATAAGAAAAAGATGAAACAGGAGTTTCACAGCAGCTATACTGCTGTATTCTCCTCCCAATGAATACCTATTTTGTACAAATGCTGTAGACACATTGTTTAAAGTGAATCTTTTTTAAAGTAAGAGCGTCTACTCAAACACTTTTATAGGTGAAAAAAGTTAAATGTATATTGAGACTGTTCTCGTCTGATTTGCATTTCTCTCTTCTTGAAGAAATGTTGACTTTTGTACTTAACAGCAAGGTTATTCTCAATTGGATTGTCACCTGTCACCTAGAAAACTTATGCTGAGAAGCTTTGCATTAGAATTGGAGATTCTTTATCCCTCTATCTCTTCTATTGTGAGCAGTACCAGCTTTACAAAGACAATTCTTTCTTACATATAGCAGTAAATGAAATATGAATTTGCACTGTGATCTTTAGAAAGATATTGCTTTCATTACCTAGAGCTTTGATTTCTATGCTCTTATGATATTTCCTTCGCAGAAACCAAAGCATTTGGCTCACATATTTAATATGCCATTAGAAACACCTTCATATACAAAGGTGGATAGTTTCACCTTGCTCTGCAAATTGTTCCAATCATTTATGAACAGCACTATTATCAATGTCCTTATTATTAAACCGCAGATGCTTGGCCTCATCAATACTAGGATGGAAGACGTTCAAGGGAACCTAGGTCATTAAACATCATGACATTGGCATTGCTCAAAGAGCTAAAGGTATTAACCATGGTGTCTGGCCTAAATTACAATCTAGGTTTCTATCATCTGGCCTATCTTAAGTTGCCTCTTCACTTAATTAGTGAAGCAGTAAACACGTCTCCACTTGATCTGCACTACAGTGGGGCTACTGCTTGCAACCAAGGTGCTGCACCTCAGTGGTAATGAAATGGGTACCTTCTTGTATGAACAACACTTTGGAATCCTGTGGGATCAACAGCACTATTTAAATGCAGTTAATTATAAGTATTATTAACAGTCCTGTTATTGCCCATACTTATGTTGGCCTTGAGCTTGTCAATTTCTGATATGTTGCCAGGCAACCAATGATATTGTGGGATATCGGTATAATAGTGACACAAACATTTCATTTTCATTCAACAGACTAATACTACAATACTACTATTTCCGATACTACATATAAGCACAGTTAATAACAAATTGAGTTCATTACATCTAATCTATACTGATTACTTGTGCTTAACTAAGAGGAGTATCTAAGGGCCTCTGAAGGGTCAAAATTCACTCAGTTTTTCTTCACAATTCTAATCTTTTCATCTTCCTCCTCCACAAGGCTAATGCTAAGAAGTATAATTCTAAAGGAAATTATAATAAAATAATTGTTTACAAATAAATACAAGACCGGTTATGCATCCTTTTCTGTAATTAACAGTAACCTGTGTCTTTGTGTCAAGAGAATTGTCCAGCTTTTTTTCATTGAACAACAATGTATCAGTTTATTTGCAAACCAAATTAAATAACTTCTGTTATCCTTTTGTCTGTAGCCTTGTTTTGTAAATTCCAAATACAAATTAAAATGTCCTGCTTTTAGAAGTAATGCTGTAAGAATTGTTTTGTAAGATGAAGATGATACACCTGTGCAGTCAGTAACTCATTTTATGTTCCTGTGCGGTGAAAGCAAATAGAGAAAGTTTTAAAAATATGCATACAGTGGGACGTAAGTTCTGCAAAGCATTTTGATTTAGATGCAAGGTTTATTATCTCTCACTAGTAGTACCTATATTTGTGGTCAAGAGCTGAGTATTCAAATTAATGTAATCCAATAGGGTAAATCAAAGAGGAATTTGAAGGATCTATAATGAGTGCCAACTCCTACTTCTCTAGATTATTGCAGGTGTGTCTAAATGAGGGATTGATCTGCATGAGATTGTGGCTACACATTCTCTCTTTCTCCTCTCTCTTATTGGAAGGTTAATTACCCTACACAAATACCACAACAAGGTGGGCTACTCATTTCCTGGGGGGCCTGGCCTTCTTCTGGATTTTGTTCACCCAAGCTCTCAGTTACGTAGTAGTTTAATTGACACCTCAAATTGGGGAAAAATACTAGACCCTCCAGGAATTTGGCATCCTAGTAATATATTGATGTAGTGGAACAAGCTTTTTAATGCTACTTTGAAATCAAAGCCACATGTAACATCCTGAGTCTATATTTCATGGAAATGTACAATGAAAAAGAGGATCTATGTCACCCTTAATACATAAATACTTAGACAATTAAGGCAGAGAAATACATAGCTGATCTATCGGGTAACACTTAAATCGCAGCAAAGTTGTCAAAAAGGAAATGCACCATAGGCTTAAGTAAATAGTCCACAGTGATACTGAAAGAATTCAGTAGATCCTTTGAATATGACAAAGAGATTACTCATTGTTTGAGAAATAAGACATTTGGAGAGCACAGAAAACTATGCAGAGATTGAGGAGCATCCTCTGCAAGGCAACTTATGTTCCCTGAGCAAGGGAACATAAGAAAGATTATAAATGAGAGGAAGCCATTCTGTCTTTAGTCCATCTGGTAGTTAGTCATTAATTAACCCAAGTTGATTAGGCATCCAATAGTTAATTGATTGACGGGAAACCTTGTAAATAATAATAATTGCTTACACTTATATAGCGCTTTTCTGGACACTCCACTCAAAGCGCTTTATAGGTAATGGGGACTCCCCTCCACCACCACCAATGTGCAGCATCCACCTGGTAAAGGTTGAGAACTGTATTTAACAGAGGGGTTGAAGTTTTCTTGTAAATTGTAATGTTACTCATAATGGTGATTCAAATCCTTATGACTTTTAAACATGCATCCCAGCTAAATAATGAGAGGAGAGATGTCAGCGATTTTGACAAAGCAACTAGCATTATTTTGTGCATTATAGCATTATACTTTTATTAGTCAGTTTTTTAAATTAAAATATTACAGTTTTACAGTTCTCATCATTTGATTCTGGGTACTATTTTTATACTTCTCTTGCAAGATAATGCATTTGGTAAACATACAATAAGTAAAGTGCTTTTTCATTATGTCTGAATTTCTGGACAGTTATTGTTGCATAGATATTTTTAAGAGGTGCGTGTATTATCACTTGCAGCAAGTGTAGGTCCCTGCATAATCTTGACATGGTTTTTCTTGAAATAATCTTACTTTCAACAGTGTCATATTAATTCCAAAAATTCTCAGTTGGTAAAATCATAGGCCAACAGAGACTTTTTTCCTTAGGAATCTGTTACTTGAAGGTAGAAAGACCTATTTCATTGGTTTGGAAACATCAGTAATTTTAATTGTAATAGATTCGGAAAATTAGTGAAGTAGCAAAATCACTGGGGCAAATCAGAGCAACCTTCTAAAGAAGGCTGAGAGCATTATGAAGTGTGTGGCTCATGCCATCCTTTAGGAATTTACACTCCTCCCATCTGTGTCCCCAGGTATAACAGGGATAATTAAAACACTACCTCAGTGCAGAATTGCTCAGAACAAGCATGACGTACTTAGCAGCTGTTTGCTTCCATACTGGACCCTGAAGCTTATGTGCGGAACTTTCCACTTTTGCTCCATTCCCAGATGGCGTGTCAAGAGCCTGCGCTGCACTTTTCAATGAGATGAGGAATGCTGTGTTTGGAAAGGTGGCCCAGAGCTCCATTCGGAGAATAGCCAAGAACGTGTTCCTTCACCTCCACAACCTGGACCTTGGTTTCCACCTGAGCCGACAGACCGGGGCCTTGTCCAAGGCTATTGACCGCGGGACCAGGGGAATCAGCTTCGTGCTCAGTGCCTTGGTCTTCAACCTGGGACCGACTGTGTTTGAAGTGGCCCTTGTCAGTGGGATTTTAGTAAGTACTGCTTCTCGAGGACTGTACTGTGCCATTAGTGTATACTGCTGACTCACCTTAGAACCTTAGTTTAGATAACTGCATTTATTTCCTGCTAACATTTGAATTATGTAAAGAATCATGAGATTTTTGTGATGTTGCATTTACAGTGGCTATTCATCCACCTTGGATTTGATAGATATGGATGCATCACCTTGGATGGTTTTATATGGAATATTTTGCCATTGATGGACACAAAACACTCTGTCAAAATGAAAACAAGAAGCAAATATGTAAATATTCACCCCCTTTACTCTGATGCACCAAAACAGGCTCTGGTGCATCCAAATGTATTCTGAAGTCACATAATTTGTTAAATGGAGTCTTTGTACAATTTGGGTGTTTCACAAGAGTTCAGGACACATATACCTAACTCTAGGAGGCTCCCAACAAAAACTACATCATGAAGACAAAGTAACCGTGAAAGAACATCTGTGATAGGGTTTTTGAAAAGCACAGATCGGGGAAGGGTTTAAGAAACTTTCCACGGCAATTACATATCTAGAAAATATGGCACATAGAAAATATGGCACAACTGTGAAGAACCAGGGTGTCTTCAAAAACTGAGTTTCCAGTTTAGTGTCAGGGAGGGAGGCCACCAAGAGGCCTGTGAGAACTCTAACTGAAATTACAGTACAGTCTTTCATGGATGATACAGTATGGGAGAAACTGTGCATAACACAGTTATGCACACTTTCCTGGGTACTTCATGAGAGAGTGACAAAAAACTCAGATGAGATCTTGACTACACTTTTCCAAAAGGCATGTGGGAGATTCTGAGGACAAGTGGAAGACGATTCTGTGGTCTGATGAGACCAAAATTTGCCTTTTTCACCTCAATGGTAAGCGCGTGGTGCATGCGTGACAGTGAGAAACCCTTCCCTACTGCCAAGATTGGTGGTGGGTGACCCCAATACAGTCAAGAATCTGTGAGAGGAATTGAAAATTGCCGTTCGCCAACAGCTCCCATGCAACCTGAGAGAGTTTGAGCAGTTTAGCAAACAAGAATGGGCAAAATGTGTAGTCTCCAAATGTGAAAGCTGGTAGAAATGTATTCAAGAAGTCTTATGGCTGTAATTTCTGTCAAACATACCTCTACCCGAAACTCATGTAATAATTTATTTTCTATTTTATATTTGCAGTGCCTTGAAAAAATATTCAGCCCCATCCCTTTATTCATACTTAAGAATCTCAGAGCCTGGAGAATGGGAAAAAAATTAGGATTGGGAATTTTTATTTGTAAGTCACACATTCGTATTCACAGATCCCCCCCCCCCCCCAAAAGAAAGATAATATTGAACCATAAATTAATTAAAAAAAACTGAAAAGTCATTATTTAAAAAGTATTTGTCCCTCTTGGTCAGTACTTAGTTGAACCACCTCTGGCAGCTATTACAGCCAGTAGTCTTTTTGGATAAGTCTCTATTAACTTTGTATACCAAGGTGGAGCAATATTTACCCATTTATCCTTGCAAAATTGCTCAATCTAGGTGAGGTTAGTTGGAGAGTGGCGATGGACTCTCCAACTAGTCTTGACACATAGTTTCAATGGGATTAAGGTAAGGACCGACTGGACCACTCACAGACATAATTTCTTCATGTTAAGCCACTCCAGTGTTCTTCTTTGTGCTTTGGATCATTAAGCTGTTGAAAGACAAACTTCCTTCCCAGTCTGATTTTTTTTTTGGCAGAGAGTAACATATTTCTATCCAGGATTTGTCTGCAATGTGCATCATTCATCCTCTCATCAATCCTGATAAGATTGCCAGTCCCTGCTGCTGAAAAGCTTCCCCACAACTTGATGCTACCACCGTCATACTTCACGTTGGGAGATGGTGTTACCTGGCTTGTGTGCAGTGTTTGATTTGCACGATGCATATTGTTTATCATTCGGGCCAAAAAAAGTTCAATTTTAGTCTCATCAGACCACACGACTTTCTGCCACATCTCTGCAGTGCCTTCTAGATGGCATCTTCCAAACTATTTGCAGGCAAGGATATGGCTTGTTTCAGCCAAGTCTTTTTCCTTGCAACCCTCCCATAAAGGCCTTTTTTGTGGAATGCTTTGGACATTGTTGGCCCATGTACTGTATATTATCTTCCATCACAGCCACTAACTTGTAGTTCTTGTAGCACTTGTAGCACAGTCACAAATTAGTTTGCCTCGCAGTACGTTCTCCAATAAGTGCCCTTCTTGTCTGGCAACTAAGTTTAGGGGGGCGGCCTGATCTAGGCAGTCTGGCTGTAGTTTCAAAATTCTTTGAGTTCTGTACAATTGACTGCACTGAGCTCCGACAGATGTTCAGTGCTGTGGAAATGGTTGTGTACCTTTCCCCAGATTTGTGCCTCTGTATAATTATTTTTCTGACTTGCTTCAAATGCTCTTTCCTCTTCATTTTGAGTCTCTACCATGCTGTAGTCTACCATGCTCACACAGAGAGGGATATTTATATTTACAAAAGAATTGACAACAGGTGATCCACTAATTTATTACACAGGTTGAGTGTATCAACAAATGGCTGACTTTTAAGGTGACAAATTGCAATTACATTTGTGCTTTTCGAATGTTATCATTTCAGTTTTTCACTTTTAGTAAATTGTGGAAAGGTTTTGGACCATTTGCTTTGTGTTGACATGGCATGGAACAGTGCCAAATAATCCAACATCAATCGATTTCAAATTCAGAATCTGCAGCAACAAAATGTGAAAAATCGGCTGCATACTTTTTCAAGGCACTGTATAATTAATTTAGGAAGATCTATAGAATTTTGTTTTCACTTTTACATCAAAGAGTGTTTTCTGTCAATAAGAAAAAACATTGCCATTGTTATATGTATATCATTGCATACCATTGCCCTTGTTAGTTTTTTAATATCCCTTTGTGCAAAATTTTACACCCTCAAGCACTATTTTGAATGATTTATAACTATGCAAATGTATGTCTCAACAGCTTAACTACAAAGATGCAGTGTAACAATGATCTTTTGATGACACGAACCTAAATCTTCTAGAATGACTCTCAGGCAATTAATATTTCTGATAGAAATCTCTTTGTATAGTACTAATATTTATCGGTTTTGAAGGGCTGTCTATTTAATTATAACTGTGCACCATGACTTTCATTCAGCAAAAGAGTGAAAGGAAGAGAGAATTTAGCAAACAAACTGCAGAATGTGGTTGTGGAGAAAATCTAGTTGCACAAAGAATGTTTTTATCAGGGATTTGAGTCAGTGCTTTGAAGTCGAGATCTGTGACAGCTGGTCAGTGTTTTACAGTTAATGTTATAGTGATATTGTAGCAATTTGCTATCTTATTAATGTTTATATGAAGCTAGCTTCCATTTAAATTGGAGTAACATTGATATCACCACAAAGCTGAGCAATTTGTACCATTGTTGTCATTGTTAGCAATCAATGATGCTGAAACCTCATGTAACTGAGGGTTAAAGTTGTTGTTTTTCCTTATTCCTCTGCTGTGCTATGCTACACTATGCTGTATTGTACAGGTAAAGTAGTTACAAAGGGAAACGAATGTAATAACATGCCTGTTGTTTTTGCTATACAATTGCACTGCTTTTTGTGATGCATAGCCTATATTAGCCTGACACTATGCATGTATGTAAACGCTTACGTTTTTAACTTTCTTTGCAGAAACTGTAAAATGACAGGAGGCCATATGTCCAGTCTAGTTCTTTTGGAAGTTAGTATCTTAATAATCCAAGGATCTCATCCATCCTTTTCTTGAAATAAGACAGCATATCAACAGCAACAACATGGCTGGGTATCTTGTTCCAAATGTTTAAACAAAAGTATTAGTTGTCAAGCTATAAGTGTTAAATTAAAAAACTCCAGACAATTGAAGAAGCATGTTACACTCAGAGTTCATAACAAAGTCACACAAACTGTAAAGCAACCCAAGGTCCCTACTTCTTAACAATCACCTGGTAAACTCTTTCTATGAAAAAGATACAAAAAAGTATTTAGATTTAAGTCATTTTCTTTGTAGTTCTGCTATATGAGATCTAAAAGTAAATATTGGTTCTAACTTTCTTTATACCATGACCATATTATGTAAGTAGTTTTACAAACCTGCTACTCACCTCAGTGATTCAAACCACAATCATACGTGATCTTGTGTCACGTTTGGGCTATGACTATTTTTCCAAATATCACAGTTCATTTCTTATTTGTCTGTTCCAACAAGTAACAGATTGAATGAGAAAAGAATGTTTAAAAACATCATTCCTTCCAAAGCACTGCTGTTTAATCCCACTTTTGTACTCCTGTACAGTTTCCAAGAAAATGATCAATGTTTTATAACACCAAGAGAAAGTCTTCAAATATAGCCCATTTTTTTCTGCTTTGGAATTTTTGTTCTCATTTCTCACTAACCATGTCTGTAGCTTAACAGTACTTTTTGCCAGTTACCTAAATATCGGTATGCGTCCCCCAGTATTGTTTACGTAATTCAGTTCAAAACAGATTGCTTGAGGTTTTAATAGTTACATATAAGGTCTTTAACCTAGAAAGAAAATAAACCTGTTTCTGTCTCTTTTATAATACAACCTCTATTTTCTATCCTACTGAATATCTGATACAGTTTTATACGTTTTCAGTGCAGGGCTATCAGTACAGTGCTGTTAAAATACACAGCGGGCTAAAGAATGAATGGCACATAAACATGATAAACTTGATAAACATGAACAAAAAAAAGCACATAAAAAAGCATATAGAATAAACAGCACAGCTAATGAGCTAAATTTAATGCCCATAAAATAGGAAAACTACATGCATTTATTCTAATACAGTAATTTTAAAGGAATTGTTTTTAAATGAGTAATACCATTTTTTTTTACAAAATATCGTGCAGGGTAACTATGATTTATCAATCAGAAATCGGGCTTATTCAACTTTAGAAGGGACACGTGGCATTACAGCCATAAGTGGATATCTAACTTAGAAAGCATTCCCTCTTGTGGAGCCATTAAATCACTTGGCTTAATGAGAGCAGGTATTGTACTCCACACAAAAATAACTTATGCAATGTGTTGAAGTTAACAGAATTACTAGTTCAGTGTTTTTTCCAGTATATTCAGATTGAATAACCACTACATGATCACTTATGCTTTTTTAATATGCTGTATAAACCACACCTTACACTTAAAAATGCTGCAGAAATGGTTTTACCTTTGTAAAACAATATAGATACATTTGTACTAGAGGTCTGGATGTGACTGAGTACTTTCTATACAGAATGCATAGAAGAGAGCAGTTTGTTTCAGTATCATAGTGCTGTATACCAGTAATTCAGTTTCGTTTATGAGTTTAGAAATAATCCTGTCTACAATTATAATTCAAGTACATTTTTAAAATGTATATAAAATGCATAATTCAACAGTTTGTCTTCTGATTTTCTTTGGACTATGGCGACTAACTGTATTGTATAATGTGTTGTTGTTTTTACATATGACTGTTCTGATTTAATGTACTGTAGATACATATTCAGACACTACATTTCCTGCAATTTTTGTTAAAGTTGAATGTATAGCAAGCTCATATGTAAAAAGCAGCTGGAAGCATGAATTTTTATAATGCAGCACTAAAATTCAGTATATGGTATATTACAGCTTCACATTTATTGTCAAAATGTAACATTAGAATAAGTTTAGAAAAATATCTCCTATATGTTCAGGTGGGTAGCTGCGTCAGCATGCGTAGGCTGCAAAGGAACAAGTAATAGGTTTATTCCATGCTGAAAAAAAGAAGAAAGAGAA